CTTTCCTGCGTGGCACTGAAAGTTTCTTTAAAAAGCAATAAAGAATGGCATTACTCATTTTGGTTTGGAAAGTTCAGATACACGTTTGTTCTCAAGGACTTTTGATGTTTTTAACTGTTTCTTCAAACTCAAAGTACCTCTTCATCCTCATTTGTTCAACATTTCTTCACCATAACTTAATTTCTAGAAAGATTCAACTTTACGCTAATCGGTTTTTATATTTGCCTGCATTGTGTGGGGTGAAAACCTGAGCTGTCAATGTATTTTACCAGTGATGCTAAGAGGGTACTTCCTCCTACTGCAGAGCTTTTACTGACCTTAAAACATGAAAGTAAAGCATTAGTCCTATGCCCTCATGCAATTTGCATAAATGTGTGCTCTAACAAATTACTGTACCCAGAATATTGAAATGTTTATCGCCTTTAATCGTCAATTCATGCAGCAGAACATCTCCTGAAAGCAGAAGTGTAACAATACCCTCACACATGTGTAAAATACCACACTAATATAACAGAGCTAAGCTAGCTGTAAAGTAAGATGTTCATAAAAGCTTGGAGATGTACTTTATGGTCAGTGCTCAAGAGAAGGGAACATGTTGTGCAGGGACAGACTAATTTGTTGATTGAATGTAACATCACATAACCTCTCGGGCATTTGCAGACTTTTCTGTGCTCGCGCCATGACTTTAACATCGTGGCCTGACATTATTTTTAAAATACTGTGGAAAAGCAACAACAACTTTTCTAAGATCAATGCTAAAAGCTTCTATTTCTGGCATTAAAACCAACGCACTGTTAAAAGCTGCTGGTATGCAGGTGCTAATAAAAAAATTATTTAATTAGCTACTTTAGTGAGAGAGTAACTAGTTGACAGAAAAGTGCTTAATTAAAAATGTAACATCCCAAAAAAATTCTTGGCATATTTTGGGATGTTTTCTGTCAACTGTATGTGTCTACATGAAATTAATGATGGGTGGTGCTGTGCTTTGATCAACCAACGTAAGCATGTGTGACTTATTTAGGAAGCTATCAAACATAAAGCTCCTCTCTTTTTAAAACTGGCTTTTTAATCAGCCTTAATGAACACAGAGGGAGGACACATGCTAATTAGCAGCCACAGCCACTGCTTTGTTAATCAAAGAACTCCAATTTCCTCCCAATTTATTATTTTCCCCAGCCCACATATTTGTGCTCCCCGTGCAGGATGTGCTTCTGGATACGTAATCGGAGTGGCAGTAATAGTGAGCATTTCCTGCCGTGGAATGTGTTTGCGCCGTTTTGTCTGTCTTTCTGCAGCAAACACATGAATCACAACGGAGCCGCAGCAGCCAGTGGACAGGGTGGCAGGAGTTCATGTGAGGTCAGACGAGATTTTCACACACTGCGACAAGCCAGTGAACACGCTTGTGCATTCCAAAGCGTGATGGTGCGCAGACAGACATTCAGATGTTGCACAGAAACAATACATGACGACTTGAGCCTCGACAGAAGAAGCTCTACAAGACAGAAAATCAATTTGAAAGATGTAAACAAAGCAAGCCTTTTCCTGTGGAGCTCATTTCAGGTTCATCTGTAGGTAATGATGGTGCCCAAGTCTGGCGGCGTTCAGCTAAGACACAGGACCCTTGAGAAGCACAATAAAAGCACTTCTGAAGCTTTCGGTCGACATGTCGTCATAAGTCAAACCTCTCATCTCGCTCCAGTGAGTGTGGTCCTTTTCTGTAATTTGCATAAATAAATGAAAGCTGCTGCAGCAGCTCCTAAGTGAAATCAGAGAGAAGCAGAAGATGACAGCAGAGAAGGAAAAAGTTCTCCAAATTCTCCAGTTTCTAATTTGTCTATTTTTTTAAAATTATTATTATTTCAGCAGCTTTTTCTATGCCTAATATCCGTTTTTATTGGAAGGAATGGATGCTAATTTTATTTTTCTTAGTTTTGCTGCTTTGTTATTTAATATGTGGGACATTTGACAAATCAGGAGAGTGTTAGCTTGGCAGATGTGAATAATTAGGGATACTCTATAACACAAGTTTTATTCAGCTCAAGAATAAATTGGGCAAATCAACAATTTGTAATCTTTGCCATATGGTTAAAAATTAAAGAAAAAACAAGAAAACTGTAAAAGGGTCCAAATCGTTTCTTCCTAAATGACACTTTGGACACCAGGACAGTTTATGTCAAATGGACTTGCTACAGAAAAAAATTTGATTTTCCTTTTAACTGCTGCAATTTCATCTTTTGAAGTCAGAGGTCAGACCACTGTATGTATAAAATGAGACAATGTTTTTCAATCATATTTTTAAATATCTATGCCTATATCTATGTTTGTGCTTTTTCTGACACTAGCGGCTTCTATTTGCAGAAGAAAATAAATAAATCGGCAGAGAGAGAAGGCGAGAGACAAGGAGCAAAGGTCTTATCATAGGGAATCAAATCCTGGACGGCTGTGTTGATGAGGAATGGCTTTACATATATGGGGCGGACACGAAGTGTCGCTGAAAACGCGCTTTTTGTCAAAAATTTAAATGTCTAGTCTTGACACAGGAACTCGGTACTTTGTTAATTCTAGTTCTTGGCTGAACCACTGGGGAAGGCAGCCGAGTTAGCCATTGTGACCAAATCATACAACTCCATCAGTTTGGCAAAATTTTAAGAAGTCCTTATCATTCAATCCTATAGGAAAGGAAAAAGACAAAGTGAGGGTAACCTAAGGCCAAGACCTCGTTGTGTCAGTCCTGTCATAATCTTCAACAAGTCAGATCTGATTAAAGGCCCCTCTTCTATGGCATGATGATGATGATGATGTCTTTAACTAAAAAGCTGAATAATCTCAGGACTCTGTCAAGTCCCTGGTTTAGGCCTGTGGCCGAGAAACTGATAAGATGTTCAAGGAAAAGTCATGTGAAGATAAACAATGTCTGTGCTACTCCACTGCCAAACAAATCTGTTCCAGATCTGTTTCCAAATGACTGTCTGAAGATCTGTAGTGGTCATTAGCGTGTCTCTGATGAAAGCTAAAAGCTGTAGCATGGAATTGATAATGATGTTGCGAAGGGGACTCATTCTTTTACGGTACTTGTTACTCCTGCAATACAAGTGTGAAGTTCAGCAAGGTTGGATGATATGCACCTATGTGACAACCAGTGAGAATATCAGGGTAAGATATTGTTGGCAGAAGAGTGAAGTGGATTTGTTGTGCCTTTATATCAACACTCGAGAAATCGCAATCTTAGAACAAAAGCAGAAATTGGAATAAGTCAATCTTACCTTCAAAATACCTGAAGTTACTGTGATATTCGTGCATCTTCTCGTGTCTTAAATTTCACTTTCACTTTTCTAATATGTAATATTGTATAACAAATAGGACCCACTTTACAAGGAAAATGTGTAAAGGGGTCCATCTCTCCAGTAATCCTCTCACAACCTTCATTTTAACATGATTTTTAAGAAGTGTGAAGGAGACTTTAAAAAAAAAACAAAAAAAAACATGAAAGTGTGCCATACGAGTCTCACTCACATCTGTTTTTGACCTCACATAATCTTTCTGTGCCCGTCCTTCTTTCCTATAATCCTTCCTATAGCCTTCTGCTGAGCCGGCACCCAAAGGAAAAATCTTTCAGCCTTTGCTTTGACTCTTTGAAATTGCCTTCGTCTTCAACAATCTCCTCAGAAGTCCCCCTTTTCTTCTTCCTCCTCCTCCTCTCATGAACTCCTGAGACACTGTCTCGTCGGCGCTTGCATTTCAATGCCGAGGGTCCACAACTGCTTCATCTCCTAGTAATGGATTTTCAATGCTTTGACAATGAAACATGTCACATGGTCATGGCTTCTCTCTTGCGATATCTCTCCGTAAGCTGTTTAGAAATGCATGAATCTTCTCGTTCCCTCGAACTTCCCTTACACAAAGAGCTTTCTGATCAACCTCCACTCACCTCACTTTCATGCAGTCAACCTTATAAAGCCATTGCTGCCATCCAGTCTCAACATCCAAAAGCTTTCTGCAACTTATTTTTTTGAGAGGTGGGGATTAAGTGTTAAATTGTCATGCTATGCCTCTACAAAATAGGTTTGTATAAGTTTATTTACCAATTGTACTCACCATCTACACAGAAAGCCATGGACATAGCAGGAAGATTCAAAATGGATTTATTTTTTTCATTATGCACTCCAGGAAGTCACAATCGTTAGTTTTATTTCAACACCACCGCCAGCAGAGTAGCGCCGTTTCCTGATTTTAACCAGGAGCTCCTTGTTAAATATCCGTCATTACATCTGCTTGAACCTATTTGAGTCTCATCTTATTATAACTCCTTGCTGGATAGATGCAGACAGTGTGTGATTCATGGTCAGACTGACACCTACACACTAAATTCATTTTCTCTGCAAAAATAACCAACATTGATGCCATCCAAAGCACCAGCACAGCATGCTAACGATGTGGTTTCTCATGGAGACATTGGAAAAATGTTTTAATCTACACCATCATCACTGTAACATTTGCACCCCGAGTAAAGAAGTCTGCAAAAGTCTTAGAAGAAGTGGTTGTTATGGCGACTGTGCAAGTTGAAGATGCTATTTTTGCTGTAGTTTGTGAGCTTTGGAGACTCACTGGCAAGAGAAATTGAGATTTTCATGTACCATTGTTTTTTGTTTTTAAAGATTTAATTGTTTCCAAGTTTTTAATTAATGCTCTATATTAGAAGTTTAAGTCGGTACCTATTTTCTTACACTAATAAAATGGCATTTTCACTTGTCTTTCCTATTTTGTCCTTAAAAATAGAAAAACAATTAGATCTCAGTAGATATAATCAAACTGCTTGATTTTTTGAAAACTTTCTTTCTTAGTTTCTTATCTTATTCTACTGTAGGATTAGTTGATTTTGAAGGCTTTTTTTACACAGGTTTTTATGGGGTGCCAGTTATTTTTCTGGCTTTATTTAATAGTTTAGTGCAAAACAAAAATACATAGACATGGTAAACAACAGAAATTATTTCTCTTACCTTTGGCGTTTTAGTGCACTTTCCATTTCTGGCATCTTTTATGTACGAAATATCCAGCAGGTCTGTATCCTGAAAAGTACCAGAAAACAGATATATACTTTAAATATGGATTTTTAAAGGTTTCGAAGCCGTTTTAGAGTAAAAGGAAAACGTTATAGGTATTAAGGGTACTACGGTTGCATAGCTGAAATCATTTGAGGAACCCTCCTCAAATTCACCAACCACCTGTGCGTGGTTTGTGTGCGTGCGTGTGTATGAGTGTGTGCATGCATAAGTAAAAGCAGGCAGTTGTATTAATCACATAGCTTCAAAATCCTAGGACATAAAACAGGAATTCAGTGAAGACAGAAGCTGCTTGCATAAAACAACAATGCAGAAATATAGATAGATCCCAAAATATTTTGAACAATGCCCAGCTGCTGCATGAGGCCTTGATGTAGCAACAGCTTGATTGGATTCAGCTGTGTAAGTGCTTGTTTGCACTCAAACCTTAATGAAGTCAGCTTTAAATGTGAACCACAAGATGGAATTTAAAAAAGGTCACTCCTGGTCCCATCTTGAGCCCTCTGAAGCCTCGCCTTTTCATCGCCCGGCGTTTCTTAAGGAACCTTCTCACACAGCTTGTTAAAGAAACAAACCCTGGTCCACTGCAGCAGTTGAGAGTTAAATAACTTTCGTAACATTTAAAAATAACTTTTTCAACAGGTTCCTTTCTTGGTTGAAACCCATCAAAAAGGGTATTTTTCAATACATTTTAGCTGACGACACAAGTCAGAGTTCCAGTTTTCATCTCAACATTGAACCCTCATATAATTAAATTGCATATTTTAATGCAATGTACTAATAAAAATATTTTTTCTCATTCTCTCACATCAAATAAGACTAAATCTTTCCTGTTTTAATGCCAAAATGGAGAGGGAGATACATTTTAGGGCTTTCTTTAAAGTCTGAAGTTTACATGCTTTTTTAATATTCAACAAAATTCTCTTTTGACTTGATTTTAACATATTGTGTACACATTATAAAGATTTGGAATCGGGATGGTGCTTTCCAGCTTGCAATTGCAACTTTCTGACCCTGTCATAGTAGCTAAACATGTCTACTTTAGACCACTACTTGTAATTTTGGTCCTTAGCAACAATGAGGCACATTTGTTGCATTTGGATGCTAGATAATGGTTTTGAACGAACTCGAGCTTTAATTTTAGTTTGAAGACTATCCCTCCATAAATTAGCTACCAAGCTTTGACAGAAGCCTGGATAAACAACCCAGAAAAAATGTTAATATTTCTTTTAATGCACCATTGATCTGTTTATTCACCCGTACTCTAAATGTGTTGGCATTTTTTCTGGCACTGAAAATACCCAAAGTGCAACTGCCCAGACTGCAGTAACCACTTTCTAAATCAGTCTGAATTATCATAGCTTCCATTTTTTCCAAAAGGAAACCAGGACATGAGGTGGAAAATTAACCAGAGTCATCCATGAGTTCCCTTAGCATTATCTGAGGAGACAAGAACCAATGGAGGGGGGGTCTGACTCTATTTCAAGCCACAACATGTTTATCTGATCAACTGTATGAGGTGGGTGGAAAATTGAACCTGACCATACTTCCTTATCTGCAGATGCATATATAGTGCGAGTCCTCAGCACATAATTTCATGTTTCCATCTTATTCACATGCGAACGTGCCTGGAAGATATGAGAAACACAGTTGCAGGGATAACAAACGTCACTCAACTCTTTTTCTTATTACAAAATCACAAATATAATAAACCCTGAAATAATACTGAATAACAGCAAATTATTACTTTTTTATCTGCATAACAGGGTTTCAAAGCTTCAAAGGAGAAGTTTTTATTTGGCCCATTTTAGATGCAGATATTTAAGATGATGCAGTTATATGACTATTTGCTTCAAATGATGTGATGTAGAAGCTCACATTTAGCATCCATTAGTCTGTCCCCGTTTGACCAGAAGGAGCCTTTGAGTCAAAGGTCAACACCTACACTGGGCCAGCCTTTGAAGTCTCTTTAGAGAGATGAAGCTCCACAGGGGGTCTTGGTGCAACCCTGCAACTTCAGGAAGTATCTTGCTGATAGAGTTCTTTTTTGTGCTTTCCTGTAGAGTTAACGTAGCTTTAATCTGGTTCAACGTCATCTGTTAGCCTCTAAAGTTGACTTCAAAAGAAGGTGAACAGCCTGTATGGATTACAAGCGTGTTGTGGAGGTAACCACAATTATATTGTTTGCGCTATTTCCAGGATATCAGGCTTTGATTTGTGATTAAGGATGTGAACTCTCACTGGTGTCGTTGAAAACTGAATCTTTTTTCTTGACTTTGAAGTAGGTTAATTAAAGCCGTTTTTCAAACAAGTTCAATCTTTGCTTCTCTGAGACGAGTTTTTTGTTTTTTTCAGTTTCTTGGACATATGGTCTTTATCTTTTCACTGAAGTCGTCTCTATTCATCACTCTCCCTCTGTGGCACGGTCTCTGATTTTCTTTCGGCTCTCTGGGCCTTTCTGTGTGTAACAAAAACTGTGAGCGCAGCTCAAAAGCCTATTAAGAACCGCGGCACGTCCAGGAAGCAAAGCAAGGCCAGCGGGGAGAGAAACAACAGAAATTAATGAACATGCTTAACCTGCGCTGGCCTCAGGCGCTGTTTTCTATGCCTGCTAGTGTCTGCAGCGGTACGCACCATTTGCAATAAGCTTCCTCCTAGAATGAAACACACAACAAGTGGCAGGACCGTTTTCACCGACCCGTTTTGAGACAGAATGTTCCTTCTATTCAGACTCTTTGTGTATGTTTTCTCTTCATCGACATGAATGTCACACAAATTTTCTTTTACTTTAAATACTACATTTTTTTTTGTCTTCCAGGAAGGAACAACTTAATGAACACATGTGGATCTTTAACACACACAAGATTAGAATTTTAGGCTGAAATACGCACACACTAATTACAGTGAGAACACGTACACTGAAACACCCAGTGTGAGACCCTGGCTGTCCCTCTTTTAGATGAAAGGAAATGGATGTCAAGCTATCTCACTGTATTGTACAACATTATGAACTTGGAGGGTAGTATGCAGACCCTGGCTCCAGGATTGACAGATTAAATCTTGAAATAAATTTAGGGAATGACATTGGATCTGGAGCAAGAATCCAATGTCATTGAATAATTCTGGTTAAACAAATTTATTGTCTAATGGATAATTCTGGTTAAAATAAAGATAATCAGATCAAAATAGGCAGTTTCTTTGCAATTTGCAAAAGATATTGAACCAAGCAGCAGTGAGGGAGTATGTTGATATTTGAGCTTAAACTTAAGATTTTGACCTTGTCAAATGTATTGATTTTTTGTCATAGTTTTTTCTGAAAAACTAACTGAACCTAAAAAAATTTGGTGTAATTTATTTGTCTCCATGCAAAAACTACATCCAATTGCTTTAAATAAATATTGTCTGACAATATACAGTGGTCATGCAAGCTTGATAGTTGGATGACAGAAGATTTATCAGCTCTTTGAAGCTAAAATCATTCACAGCTTTACTGGTGCAAGTGGTGAGTGCATGAGGTGATGGTGCAGGAAAGGGTAGGAAACGTCAAGAAAACATGGGGTGGAAGGCTAAGATTTAGAGAATTATACCAGAAAAGTCGGGAGAATGACATCAACAGGTCAGCTTGCTCATTTGCCAACAGCAAGCCTGACAGCCTGCAGGTTCAGAATGTGCTGAACAGGGATCTACTCTGTGCTGAGAAAAGAAACAGACGAGACGCAAACGGGCAGGGCAGGAGGAAGGCAAAGATAAAAATACATACAGAAAATAAAGGGTTAGCTGTCAGAGTCAGTGAGTCCTACAGTACATACAGCTGTCACACTGGCTGATGTCAAAACATAGCAAATCAATGCGCATCACTTTAATTGTATTTCTAATTAAAAACCGATATTATCCATCATCTGATGAATGTCCGTGTCTTGAATTAAACAAATGCACTAACGACTTTATTCAAACTGGTACAACATAAAGAGGACCCTGAATCCCCTTAATGCTGTGGCTAGGAACATAATAACTTGTAAATGAATTATTCAAACGGGGACTGCGTCATACAGGCAAAAATACATCCTATATGTTTCAATATAGATTCTTTTCACAGCTTCTTAGTCAAAGGGTCAAAAGATCCTTGTCATGAAAGTGACCCCGTTATCATAAACAGAGCTATTACTTCTATATAACAAAAGGCACTAAAGCTGTGCAGGTGCTTCACCCGTCTCTGTAAGTGGTCCTCCACTGAAACTCAGCTGCCTGGAAACATCCTGTTATGAGGGAAAGTGGTTCACGGAGAGTTGTACTTGAACTTGTTTAAGAGTTGCATCCTCTCTGCTACCCCACTCACAGGTTCCTATAGAAGTGGGGTTTGCAAACTTTATGTCAGAGATCAACATGTGATTTCTGGTTAAAGCAAAAAGTCCAGAACCCTCGGGATGAGCAAATCTTTTTATTATATTTGTTTGCAACTCACAAGCAAAGCAAATGATGCTGGCCTGAGCTGCTCAGTTGTGACTCGAAGCTGTTCTTATTTCTGACAGGAAAATGCAAAGAGAACTCTTAACTTTCAAAGAACTTTGAACTTAAAATTCACCACCGTAATTAATTGTCATCCCTCAACATATGAAAGTGTCTTGTTTTACAAAAGAAGAACATAAATAAATAAATTGAACTTAAAGAGCAAGTAACATCTAAACAGCTGAAGTAAACAAAGAAATTAAAAAGTTAAGAACAGCTTACATGAGTTGGAAATGTATTCCTTTAAATAGGACATATTTTTCACTAAATTTCATTTTTATCCTCAATAATCTCATGCATTACAAAGTAAACTCCAATGCACATAAAAGTGGCAAAGACAATGGATGGATGGTTTGAAAACTAACCCCAATTTACTGGGAATTTAATAATTTTGTAAATCTCCCAAAATCACCTATCGCCTATCCCAAAAGTCTTTGTTATAAAATAACCACAGAAAAGTTTTATATGAAAGGAATGAAAAAAGTTATTCTGATAAAACA